AACAGGAGTTACGGGTTTTATCCGTACCATTCAGCAGGGACGTGCCGTGGCCCAAGGGGCCCTCACTTCAAAGGCCTTCAGTGGTCGGGTGCAGTGCTGTCCCTTCCAAAGACGATTCAATCTTCTCTGTGCAGTGGCTTGGCGGCTCTTGCACTCGCTCCTGCACAGACCCTGCCAACGCTGCTGAGCGTAGGAGGCCGACACTCTACAAAATGCATAGCCTGGTCGGATCACAAGCTGGCGCCGATTTCTCTGTGCCAGCTCTGCCCTGAGAACCGCGTCTGGGCCCTCAGGTGGCCCTCCCCGACCTGGCCGAGGGGCGTCCAGCCTCCTCAGAGGCCCCTTCCGCGTCCCCGACCCCCCCCACACGACGCTCCACGACCCCAGTACCTGTCCCACTAGTACTCGGGGCCTGCAGCGGCCCGTCCTTGGCCGTGTCGACTGCCTCTGATGACAGGGCTAGGACTTTCGCATTGAATTGCATTAGGTATTGCTTAGACGCGCGCAGATATTTCTCGACGTGCCACTATGGGTATGCTAGCGAGGCTGATCTTAGCTTTGCACCTCTGTCCGCGGCCTGATTGCCCTGGAAGTGTTTCATACCTGTGGATCGGCGTTCGACTACCGTTTCATGTGCCTTCGCTTATTCGATCTGGACCGCCTGTGGGCCCAGGCCGCCTCGCTTCGACACAAGGTGCTGGGCGTATTTCCACTGGCTGGCATGCGGGTCGGAGACGCGCGTGCACCACTCCAGCCCGCGCGCAAATCCATCCATTACATTTTTGCAGGGAAACCAAATCGTGAGCGGCACCATTCCTGCTTTCAAACCGTGCATACTGCATGCAGCTCCGCTCCTGGACATGGACTGGTTATCCTGAGGCTGCCACAACGGCCCGTACACGGCGAAGTTTTGTTCTCCGCTGTCGCTGACCTGCGCCAAGCACCACCCCGCTCGCTTGGTGGCTGCGTGCCTCCCGTGCAGCAGCGAGCCGTTTGCGCAGGCGCCGCCCGTGACTGAATCTAGGGCCTTACCTAGCGTGCTGGCCCCGGCAGAGATGCCGAGCTCGGTGATCTTAGTGCCGGGGTCCTGCACTATTCCTCCGTCCATAGCGGAACTCGTTCGCAGGCGTGGGGGCGCTGGTGGCCCTTGGCTGCTGCACTCCTGGATGCCCTGCCTGCGGCCGCGCGGCCTGGCGCGCAGGGCAGCAGAAAAAGCGATGCCCATCAGTTCCCTTTTCGCCGCACGCGGCTCACCTGCTGCTGGTGGCCGCCCCCTTGTCGAAGATGTGCTGCTGGCTCTACATTCCGCTCGCGCACATCGTGCGAGCTCGAGTGCGGTG